GGGAGCGGCGGAAGCGCAGGAGCACCGACTCGTCCTCCAGCGTCTCGGGCTCCCTGCAGCAGGTGCGTGCGCTCCCCTCGCGCTCCCGGAGCGGCTGCTTTTCGGGAGGAGGCGGGCTGCGGGGCGCGGGGCCGCGGAGCGCGTTGTTGGCGCGAGGTCCCGAGGGGCCCCTGCAGGCTCGGGTGCCCGAGTCCGGGACCGCGCCCCGGGGTCTTGAACTTCCGCCTTTGGGTTGACTGGGACGCGTACTTTCTTCGTAAACTTCGGTGCCTCCCACTCCGGGTCTCCCCGCTCTTCCCGACGAGTGCGTGTGGGTCGGGAGCTCGACTTCAGTGCCCTGTGAGCCGGACGGCTTGCTTCCTCTTCACCTTTTGGATTGCGATTACCTTCACATCACGCGGGAGAACGCTGCGGCCCAAAGAAGTTAAGGAGCGTTCGTTACCTGTAGTCGCGGGACTGTTCACGCCCCCAGTACCCGCGTCTGCCAAGTTGTATTCTTTCTGCGCCGTTGATGTCACCATACCATTTAAAAATACTTTGTAGTTTAACATGATGCACAGAAATGCAGGCAAAAATGTGGAAGTCCTTCTTCGTGCCTCCACGGTAGTAGTAGCTCACGTGCAACCTCGTTTCATTATCCTTTTTTTTTTTTTTGTCTTTTTGAGGCAGAGTCTCGCTATGCATTTCGGGTTGGCCTTGAGCTCACTTTGTAGCTCATGCTGGTCTCGAACTCGCAGCAGTCCTCCTGCCTCAGCCTCCCGAGTGCTGGGATCACAGGTGTGCGCCACCACGCCCGGTCATTATCCTTTGTTAGGTATGTGTATTTAGTTTACACATCAGCCTTATTTTGATAACCCCCTGTTGAATCGGACCCCACTGCATTGCGATAGTTTTTTTCTACATATGGCACTTTATTTTAATAACTCCTAGTATTAGTAAATACATTTCAATAAGACTTCACTAATTTATAGTCCAAACAGTGTGCCAGAATACCCATTTGATAGCCACTAAAATTTGATACCCATTTTTAAGGATTTATCAGACTAATGAGTCAAATTAATCATAGCATTTGTTTTAGTTCATATTTTCCTAATTAGTAACGAGATTGAACACTTAAGTTTTTATTTGTTACTTGATTCTTTCTTGTGGAGTTGTGTACATCCTTTCCCCATGTATTCCCTCAGAAATTACACATCTTTGCCCGAAGTCTTGGTTTTAAACTTTTGTGTACAGTGTATTGCAAACGTTAATATAATTTTGTTCAGGGTGTACAGAAGCCCTTGATTTCTTTGTAGTCAAAGCTAATATTTTCTTTTGCCTCCTAGGTTTTCCCTGTAGTTTAGAAAGCTCTTTCCTATTCCAAGATTATAAAACGACTGTAGTTTGTTTCCTAATAGTTTCTAACATTCACCTTTAAATTGGGACTTGTAGAAGCATAGAAAGCAATTTATTTTTATGATTTTCTTTTATCTAGCCACACTCTTTGCTTGAAATTGACTTTCACAAGAATTTTTGCTAAAAGCTTTGTCTTTTTCAGCACTCATATTTTTGTTTGTTTTGCATGATCAAGGACTTCTAGTGTAATATTGAACTGTAGCAGAGATAATAGGTATTTTTTCCTCAATTTTTAAAAATGGGAACATTTGTAATGTTCGATCAATAAGTGGGTTTGGAGAGAGAGGTTTTGGAAGATAACTTTCGCCGGATTAGGGAAATTTTCATCTGGCTTACTGGAGGTTATGTGAGTTGTCTTTGTGGTGTGGAGATAAATTGTATTTGGTTTGTTGACTTAAGTTTGTTATATGCAGTTGGAATTCAGTATTTGAGTTATGTGTAAGTATTCCTAAATTACATCAGCCTGTAGTTTTTGTGTTATGGATTTAGGAGGCTTTATTATCTTTTCTTGTTTTTGGTTTTGCTATGTTTGAGAATAGTTTATAATCTTTTTCTCAAATATTTGTCAGAACTTGACCATTGAACCATAGTTATGTGAGTATTGTGTCTTTTTATGGGATTAGTTTTTTTAACCATTTCTAAAAATATTCCTTAATAGTTGTAGATCTATTCATTTGGGCCACCCCCTTCTAGATTGAATTTTAGATATCACTAAAGTTTCTGTATCTTTCATAATCTTTATTATGATAAAGAGATCAGCAGTGTTAAGTGCTATAAACATTTGTAGATAGCACTAAATCTAACTTCTAATGGGAAATAGGTGTTTTGTTTTGTTTTGTTTTTTAAATTCTGGACATTTTTTTGGGAATTGAACTCAGGACCTAGTGCTTGCCAGGCAGGTCTTGTGCCACTGAGCTATATCCCCAGCCCTGAGAAATAAGTGTATTTTTGAAGGAAAAAGTCATTGCATGTTAGGCACATAGATAATGCCTCAAAATTCTGAGTGCTAAAATATCTTTTGTGTATTGAGTTTTTTTTTTTTTTTTTGGTAAGAGCTTTATTGAAATACATTTGTTATACTGTATACTTGAGCCTTTCAGGTGTACAGGTCGGTGGTTTTGGGTGTATTCAGAATTAGGCTACCATCATTATAGTCAATTTAAAAATATTTTATGCATACGTTTTAATGATCATCCCTAATACCCCGCCCTATTTTATCCCTACTAACCACTAATTTACTTCCTGTCTCTATAGATTTATAGATTTTTCTTCCTTTATTTAAAAAATTAAATTTTTACTAGTACATGTTCGTTAATGATTGTGTTCGTTGCGGGGAGTCAGTCCATGTGCATAACACATCGAAATTCTCCTTCTCCTCCTCCCCCGTCATCTCTCCATCTCTTGGTCCCCTTCTCATCTGCAGAAGATCTGTCTCTCTGTGTACTACTATTGGTCTTTTATTCAGCTCCTTATATCATAGGTTTTCTTATTCTGGACATTTTTTTAAATGGAGTCATGCAGTATGTTGTAGTTTGTATTTGGCTTTTTCATTTAACATGCTTTTATTTTTTGTCCATGTTGTAGCACACAGGTTTGTTCCCTTACCGCACAAGATTCATTCTTTTTTATCGCTACATACTATTTCATTATATGACTACTCCACTTTATGCTTTCATTTATCTCTTAATGGGCAGTTAGTTTGTTTCCACCTTTAGGCTATTATGAGTAATGTTGCCATAAACATTCCTGTAAAGCTTTTATGTGGACCTGTGGTTCCATTTCTCTCGGGCATTTAATTGCTGGACCTTACTGGTGACTTCTTCTGGAACTGCCAAACCATTTTCCTTCCAGAGCTGCTGTATCGTTTTGTGTTTCCACTAGCAATGTAGGGAGTAAAAGTTCCATTTCCTCTATATCATTACAATATGAGCTCTTAGAACAAGAGCTGACTTTACTTTTCAGTCTAATTATTGCAATTTTTAAAAAATTGGCCAGTTTTAAAAAATTCATTAATCATTTAGTTTTTTTTGAGACACAGTCTCGCTGGGTACACAGTGGTCTTGAACTCATTGTGTAATCCGAACTGGCCTCAGACTCATGGCAGTCCTCCTGCCTCCGCCTTCCAAGTGCTCGAATTGCAGGGATGTACCACTACTCCTTGCTATTTTTTACTTTTTTAATTGGCCTATTTTAGCTGACTTTTTAACAGTTCCATTAGAGTACATAACAGAAATTTGCATAACCTGTATGGTTAGGGAAGCTTTTCCCGAGGAAATGACTTTTGAATTTGCTATCTGACAAGTGTTAGAATTTGTTAATTTTGTTGGTATAGTGTGGTGTAAGGGAAGAGGAGGAAACACTGTCATAGACAGGAGGAGAGTGTGTATACAAGCTGTGCTTATATGAAATGAGGGGAGCAGAACAGGTTATATCTGAGTAATTCAAAGAAGGTCATTATGTCCAGAACACCAAGGATGAGCGAGAAGCATCTGGTAGGTCCTGTTACCCAACAGTGGGAAGTCATTGAAAGGTTTAAGCAAGTATAATTATTTTCCTGTTTTAGAAATTCTGTTCTGCTGATAGTACACAAACCAGAGACCTCAGTCAGATGTAGAAAGTCCACCTAAATGGCTTGCTGTAATTCATAAAAAATCCTACTTGTTTAGATCACTGTTATGACAGATTTGGACAGACTGGATAGCTTTGGGAGAGGCTTGGTAAAATTGTCAGAAATGTTTTAAATTACTGAAATAATTTGGTTACTTTGAATATGATTATATAAAGTTTTAAAATAGCTTCTGGTAAACATTATGTTGCTGTATATTTGTGATTTGTAACATTTTTGTTGCTGTTCCATTTCTTTGTATTAGTTCAGTAAAGTGACAGTGGATACATAAAACTTGTGAATGAGTGCTCACTTGCAGGAATGTCTTAATTCTTCAAAAGTCAAAAATTGTAGGAACTAGTCAGTGTTAGTATATGTTACTCATTCAGTAAAATGTTCTCTCTCTCTCTTCTTTCCTTTCTTCGTTCTTCTCCCTTTCCCTCTCTGTTTTTTTCTCTGTACTGGGGATTGAACCCAGATCCTCACTGTGTGCCAGGCACGTGCTCTAATGCTGAGCTCTATCCTCAGTGTTTTGATTTTTTGTTGTTGTTACTGGGTTTTTTGGTTTTGCTTTTGAGACAGGCTCTTCCTAGGTAGCTCAGCCTGCCCTTGAACTCACTGTGTAGCTTATGCTGAACTTGAACTTGTGATCTGCCTGTATCAGCTTTCTGAGTGTCGGAATGACAGCTGTGAGCTCTATGTCTGGTGAAACTTTGTTTTGAGCTAAGTGTCCCATGCTGGCCTCAAACTTGGGATCCTCCTGCCCCAGCCTCTCAAATGACTGGAATTACAAGTACTATATACACAGCTATGCCTGGTTTTCTCTTCCCTTTATAGCTATTCCTTCTGTTATTTGCAGAGTGGAAAGTAAAAATCAAAGAATATTGATCTATTAAATATTTTCTATGATTTTAGATAAATGTGCAAACAATACAGTTTTGGAAGTGTTGGAAGAAGGATTGAATAAAGTGCATGATACTGTATACAGACTCTATTTTAAATAGTGTTGTTTAATAGTTTGTTATTCTTTCAATTTTAGGAAACCAAGTATCTTTTGCCAGCTTTGGAGAAAGAGTTATTCTTGGCAGAGCACAGCGACCTTGAAGAGGGTGGACTGGACCTGACTGTGTCATTAAAGCCAGTTAGTTTCTATATATCAGACAAAAAAGAAATGCTCCAGCAGTGCTTCTGTATTATAGGAGAGAAGAAGTTACAGAAGATGCTTCCCGATGTGTTAAAGGTACTTCATTGCAGCGGTAGACTGCATGCATGCATAGAGGTAGTGTTCGCTGTAGCAGTCATTTTACTTATTGCAGCTTGTAATTGGAGTTCTCATCTAAAACAAGCTACAAATACCAGAAAAAGAACCTGGAGAACTGTAAGTGGCCTTGCATATTTAAAGATTTCCAAGGAAGGTTAAGGCAAGGTATTCACTGACTCAAAGGAAACGATTCTGTTCAATGCAGGACGTGGTAGCAACTGAGTTGGAGGTATAATGAATCTTGCTGGTGCTTTAAGAAATAGTATGCTTATGTGTAGCAGTACCCAGTGGTGGTTTGTAATAACGTATATTTCATTGCATGCATAAGGTTTTCATACATTTATTTCTGAAATAGGTCTTAGACAAGTTAAGCCCAAAATCATGTATCTAAAGCACATAGAGCCAGGACTTGAGTACCTTTAGAAGAATTATGTAGCATAAATAGACTGCTATTAAAAAGTAGCAGGGAAACTGTACACTTTAGTTTGTTTTTCAAGATAAACATGACTTTATGTATTTCTGTCAAATCTAAAATGTTTATGTTGACTGGCAGTTTTTCAGATTTCATCACATGAGAAGATTTATGTGACTCCACGTGAGGTTTTGATTTGTTTTATTGTAACATTTTGCTAACCAAAGTTTTTCTTACGATTGCAGTTTCCTAGTTTACATTGGGGCTATAGTACATAAATGCAATTTTTAAAAATGTTATTTCCTTTAGAACTGTTCAATAGAAGAAATTAAAAAACTGTGCCAGGAACAGTTAGAGCTCCTGTCTGAAAAAAAAATCTTGAAGATTCTTGAGGGTAAGAAGACATATTTCTACATTCTGGATACTTTGGTAACTTAATAAACTATATTCATCATTAATCTTGAGGTATTCTTTCTCCTGTTGATTTACATTATTGGGTAATCATTGAAGAATGTCTTTGTTGTACTGTGAAATAAAATTTACATTATTAGAATAGAATCTCAGTAATAAATTAGATGTATAGTTTTTCTAACTTGAGTATGTAGATAAGAGCATGTTTGTACACTGCAATAAAATGAAATGAAAAAATATTTATCACGAATGCTGTAAAAACTACTTAGACTACAAAGAATTTCCTTAAAAGAAGTTAACTTTTTTCTGTTATTTATTTATTAATTACTTTTGTGGTACTATAGAGTACCAGGGCCTGCACAGTGAGCTATATCCCCAGCCCTTTTGATTTTTTATTTTGAGACGGGCCCTTTCTAAGTCACTATAGTTGTTCAGGTTGGGCTTTGTGAGCCTCCTCCCTCAGCCTCCACGATTGCTGGATTACAGGTGTGTACCAGCACTCCCAGCTCTGCTTCACGTTCTGTATAGCCTTTTCTTATTTATGGCATATTATTTCTTCTCCGGTAAAACCGAAATGCAGAGCTGGAAGAGTTCTCTGCAACTTGCCAACTCTTATATGCCCACCTCAAGTATGACTGTGCTTGGTGATATTGTCACTACTAGAATTTTGAAGTTTTAGGTTTTTTTTCTTTTGAAACTGCAAGGATTTTACCATTTGTGGCACAGAAGAAACAAATAATAGAGATTTTCAGTTTCTCTAGAAACTTCTGGTTTCCCTAGAGAGCAACTTTTTTTGTGTATTAGGGGTTAAACCCAGGGCTTCTTGCATTCTAGGTTCTTCCGCTGAACTAGATCCTCAGCCTTTTTAATTTTGTTTGTTTTTATTTTTGTTTCTTGAGACAGGGTGTCACTATGTAGTGCAGGTTTATTGTAGTGTATGTAGCCCAGGCTGGCTTTAAACTCAGCAGCGATCCTCTTGCCTCCGGCTTTTGAGTGCTAGGATTATAGGCATGCAGCCACCACATCCAGCTCAGTCTTCTTAATTTTTTTTTTTTTGGTTGTTTTGTTTTTAGAGATGGGGGTTTTGCTGTATAGCTCAGGCTGATGGCCTTGAACTTACTTTGTAACCCAGGCTGGCCTCAAACTCAGAGCCATCTTCCTGCCCTAGTCCCTGGAATGCTGGGATTGCAGACGCACACCATTACACTCCACAGTCCTTTTGATTTTAATTTTTAAAAATTTGAGCAGTCTTAATAAGATTCCTAGGCTGACCTCAAAACTTGTGATTCCCCTGCCTTAGTCTCCCAAGTAGCTTTAGTAATGGATGTGCCACCACACTTGGCTAGAAAGGATTTTTCTGAAATGTAAACTAGTTTAATGGATTTTGTAATTCTGGAAACAGATGTATACTTAAGAATATAGTCTCTAGGTGTATACACACCTTCTTGTATTATGTGAAAAAGAGGAGGGACTGGAAAAAAGTCATTAAAAAACTAATTTTAAAAATAAGCAATTGAAAATATAATAGTCTTAACAGTTACAGAGTTGTCTACTATGTGTCACTTTTTGTGAAACGATTAGTAATTTTGACATTTTTATAAACGTGATTTCAAGAATTTATTTCTTTTACAAGGTGACAATGGTGTGGACTCAGAGATGGAAGAAGAGGCAGATGATGGCTGTAAGATGGGGTCTGACCTAGCCAGTCAGTAAGTTCAAAACGTCCATTTCATTTCAGTGATTTCTTCCGTCACATGTATGATGTTTTTCTGCTGCTTTCATATAAGATAATTCAACTGTGAATCTGTTTACATGAGAATTGTTACGTTGGTATACATGAGATTGAAGTTTAGACAAGAAAGAAAAGAGCACGGCGACTAGTTTGGAAACTTAGTTGAAATTAGAAAGGAATTAGAAAAATAATAAACAGAAAAATGAACCAACAAAAGGAAAAGTTAAAAACTAAAGAGGTGGAAAACATACAGAAAATTAAAATTTGTAAATAAGTTTATAGACTTGGTCTCTGTAAAGACCAGAATATAGAGAAATTCTTTTTAGGTTTGATGAAGGAAATGAGGGATGAGCAGTTATAATTGCTATTAGCAGGCAGAAGGGGATGTAGTACAGGCGTTGCAAGCTTAAAAGTGTGGTGAGGGTCCACAGGCAGCGTTGTGTACGCAAACCTGAAAGCAGCAAGTAGTTTCTAGCAAAATGCACACCAATCAAATTGACCCTCTACCCAGCTGCAAAGCTTGAAGAGATTAATGTAGAAATAAGTAAAACGTTGACTAAACATCTGTTGAAAAGAGCACCAAGACAAAATAGATGTACATCTGAATTATTACCTAGAAGAGTCAGTACGTGGAGTATGTTTTTAGCTAGTAAGATGTTCAGCAAATGGCAGCAATAGCTTATAGCACTTATAAACACATCACACCTGTGTTATGTAGCTGGGCGAACCATGGCAAATATTTTGAAAGGCACATTATGGCGGGTATGTAAGGCCCATGTTTATTTTTTAGAAGTATTTCTATTTATGAATTGTTAATTTTATGAGTTTTATTAAACAATGTGTACCAAACAGGAAAATAAAATATCAATAAAATAAAATATTAAATACATACTGAATATTTAGAATAAACGTCTAAATTTTCTACGTCAACTGTTTGCTTACTAAATCTAGAAAATAACAGCAGAGATAAATTCCTGTGTGAACTACAATGAAAATACAAACAAATCTACCACGAAATACTCTTTACTTCAGTTATCACACCTAAGGCAGTTTTCACACATGAGAACAGCATGTTCCGTGCATAAATATTGCTTGCACTGAGAGCAGATGTGTTTTGTTGGCCGTCTTCTTCAGCAGGACATACCTCACACCTTGCTGGTCTTCCTGTTTTCTTAGGAGATTCTTGCGATGTTTCCCCTGTCTGTTCCCTAGTCTGCTTCTGAATTCTTCTGAGTTCTTTGGGTAGATACATACTGTTCTCCCTGTGTTGTCATTAATCATTCATCCATTCTAGTCCCAATCTTCTTAAGACAAGTTCTCCTTGATACTTCGTGCCTGTTATTTTCTTTGTAAACTATGACATGTTTAGGACACAGCCATTGGCCAGTGCTTTGTGTTTTGAGTGACAACAACATGTATTCCACCTTTTGTTTTGTTGTAAAATGTGAATTTCTGGCTTCATTTGTGTTGAGGATTCACTGTCAATCTTTTTTGTTTGTTTGTTTGAGGCAAGGTCTCATTATATAGTCCAGCCTAGCCTTTAACTCACTATGTAGCACAAACTGATCTTGATCTCACAGGATCCTCTCCTGCCTCAGCCTCCGGAGTGTTGGGATCACAGGTATGCAGCACCATGCCCAGCCTGTCAATCTTATCATCATGGTGTCATGTTGACAGTATCAATATTACTTGGTTGTTTTTCTTCACCATAGTGTAATGTGGGCTAGCCTGGAATTTACTATGTGGCACAGGCTGATTTTGAACTCACAGGATCATCCTGCCTCCCTCCCAGTTCTGGGGTTGCGGGTGTGCACCACACACCCAGCTTCATTATCAGTTTTATCGTCATGGTGTAATGTTGACAGTATCAGTACTACTTCATTTTTCTTCTTCATATAGGAGGCCAATGTTACGTTTTTCTGAAATCCAGATTGTACTATACATTCCTTTGTTGTGAACTACAACATATTTTGAGCAATCTTCACTTTGTTCTTGTGAATAGTTCCTGGGTTGGTCAAATGGTATCCTTTTAGCAAATGTAATATCAGTGGGTACCTAGAGAGCCAATTGTCGAATGTAGCATTTGGGTTGCTTTTTGAAATAGGTGCAACCACAAAGTTGTGCAGTTTACTGCATGAATAAAGACCTGGTGACCGAGTTCCAGGATAAGTTTCTAGGTTTATTTTTTTTATTTTAGTTTATTTTTTCTGGTATTGGGAATCGAACTCACGACCTCCTGCTTGCCAGGCAGGAGCTGTGCCACTGAGCTAAATCCCCAGCCCCAAAAGATTCGCTTTAAGTCTTAAAGGGTCCATGTTTTTTGTTTGTTTGTTTGTGTTTTTTTTTTTTTTTCCAGTACCAGGAATTGAACTCACGACCTTGCGCTTGCCAGGCAGGCGCTGTGCCGCTGAGGTAAATCCCCAGCCCCACAGGATAAGTTTCTCAATTCAAGGTGTAAATTGTCTTTGCATCGACCAAGGCATATATTTTTATACTGTACTTGGAAGGTTTACTTGTGCTGAAAGCCTCAACAACCAGGAAACAATGCAAGTTGTTCATCAGTTTTTATGTATTTGGATAGTATATACATTGAGTACAGTTTAAAACAGAGCTTTCAAAAAATGAGTGAATAGCAGTCAAATAATCAGATTTCTTCTTTGTTGGTGGGTCCTTTTGTTGTCAAAATGTAGGCAGTTTTGAAGGAAGCCAGGTCTCGTGACTGTTATCCTAAAAATCTCCACGCCACATCAGTCACTTCTCCATACAGCCTTTAGACTCTGAGGATCAGAATGTGAAGTCCGGCTGTGAAGGCTCTTAGTTCAAATAGTGTGGTATCATGACAAAATATAGTTTTGAGTATTATTATTGATGCATATAGAATTTTGTTTTGAATTTCATTATTAGTATATTTCAAAACGTCTTGTAGCACACTGTCCATTACAATTTCCAACACTGATTCGCAGTGTTGGCATTCTGTTTAGTAGGTTTCATCCCTGGCAAAAACTTCATAACATTTTCTGGTCTAGTTCTAATGTTGGATCGTTGAGGTATACATGACCATTTTGTAGTGTTCAGATGAGTAAAATGTTTATGTACATTACTGTTTTCTTCCTCATCTGAATCAAGGTCTTCAATCTGTACTTCTTTTTTTACATTGCTACTTTCACTTTTATGTAAATATAGTGATCTTTTAAGAGAACAAACAACAAAAAACTATACCGCAAATATTCTACATAAATATAAACATGCTTGTCTACTTCATAATTATGCAAAATGAACTTTGGGCGCAAGATTTTAAAAATCATTAAATGAGACAGTGAACCCAAGATAGAAACAACAGAAGCAAATAAAACATGCATTTCATAATGCTTTAGTTGGTTTTATCTTCCAATATACTGGTCAAGGCCTGAGTTTCAGAAATTTTACATTCCTTGCCAAATGGGATTATCCAGTTTGGCTGTACCTAATAAATTCTCTTTCAAAATAATGTAATAAATGTAGCTCTCTCTCGTCTCACTTACCACCGTCTGAAATAGGGAAGTAGAGATTTCAAGCTTTCCTACCACTGAAGCACACCACACATTGGGGAAAAAAACATTCTGCCATAGAAATGAGAGGCATTATTATAAATCTGTTTTATTTACGTTTCCCCTACACATTGAACTAAGGCTTGCTGTGGCTCCTCAGACACGTCAACTCTGGTCTTTTCACCCCACCTAAACGGCTCAGTGCAGCAGACACCGTGAAGGCAGTCGAACAGTTTAGTTAGAAACTTCAGCATGCGTATACTCAGCTTTGTGCAAATGCCCAGAAGGTTTCTTTTCTGTGTCTAAGCCCTGTCCTTCGCTGGTTAGTGTTCTTTGCCTCCTCCTCCGCAGGCTATAATCACATGGAGGTCTAGTCCTGTGATGATAGTTCCTGCTATTAAGAAGCCCATACCAACCAGAGCTCAAGCCAGAAAAGGTCAGCTTGTACTCACAGGGCAGTCCACGTGGGTCAAAATAGGAAGAGTCCATGGAGAAGGAAACTGCAGAACCCTGGAGCTGGAGTCTGGGGTGGGGTGAAGGGAGCAGGAGAGATGGTGAAGGCACAGGCACGGGAGGAAGCAGTCGAGTTTAGCTGGCATGAAGATAGCTGTGCAGTCACTGGTGCGGCCACATTCTTGATTCTCAAAGAGAAAAATACCCCTTATTCCTCTGGGAGACAGGACCGTGATGGCTTTGTATAGAAAACAAAAACCGGAGCTGTGCTAGAGAATAACCTGAGCAGGACGGATGACAAGGGAGAGAGTGTGAAGCTCAGAAAGTGTGATTCACCAAGCCTAGTGCCACATACAAGTATTTCCTATAGAAACAAATACCTTAACAGGCCCCAAACCACAGTTCCATCTACATAAATCAAGGCTTGGGGATTGTGGGTAAATAGGTGTTTCAGTTCAAGTTCCTGGAACCTGCTCCAATTTGAGCAAATGAAGAGCAGTGAGATAATTCCCACATCCAACAACTCAGACTTCCAATAATGATCTTTACCTTCCCTGAGCTATCATCACCATGGAATTATAAAACAATTATCAGTCAGCTCATTATAAATAAGTTCCTATCTGCCACCAAAACCCCTGAGCCCTCAGGATGGGCGAAGACCCACCACAAGAACTAGCACGTGCCCATCGCCTACACGGGCAGGCTGCGGGCTGCTGCGAGGCAACGGCTCCCCGTCCCAGTGCAGCTCACTGGGGTCACTGTGTGGATGCCGCAGCTCTCCCACAGCCCCCATCGTGGACTGTCCATTTCCTTGTGGGTCTGGACTGTTTTCCTCTAGCTGGGGAGAGGCCGTCTGAGTGGAGGAACGGGAGAAAGGAAAATCATTATTAATGTCTTGAGGCCTACAGAACAAAGTAGATAAGAACTTGTTGGGACACATTCATGCAAACTAGAGAAACAGGCTGTTCCATACTAATCAGGGGACACTTACCACACA